AACAAAAGATACCAACGGCAACACGAATTTTTGTGTTAAAAAAAAAAGCAAAACAGTGAAATCACAACACAATTACATGCACACGAACACGAACACCAACACGAAACCAACCAAAAACAAAAACAAAAATAACACACATTCGCATTGAGAACAAAAGTTGTTATTACTCAAGATGTCGTTGACAAATTGGAGTAATGAAAACGATTTTGAAAGCTTCTTTGAAGGACGCGTTTATGTCGTTTACATACTGCGTCTTAGTTGTGTTACGTTTACATTTTATTTTGTTTAGGCCAAGAGAGAAATATTTGGATATTTGGATAAAAAAAAAGAAATGGAATTTTTCTCAAGACTTTTAATTATTAAATAAAATAGGAACAAAGCTGAATTTTTGTGACTTTATTCTGTTATTATCCTTTGTGTGAGCTATTTTTATTAAAAGCAGTCAAACAGTAAAGACATCATTGCGTTGGATCGGAAGTAAGTAGAAAGTTAGCAGGAAACGACTTTGCTTTAAATCTAAAAATTTAATAATGAGAAAACAACTGAGAAATGGTATTAATCGATTTAAAGCCATTTTATTTTTACAATACTATCTTTAAATTTGATTATTATTGATATATTATATTATATACTTTAACTGGTGGGCAGTTATCAAAGCGGTGAACTGAATTAGGACCAATATAAAGTCAATTATCAGTTCATATACATGCGTACACATAATTTGGAGTATAGGGTATAATGATATGAAGGAAAATAATACCAGTATTCAGAAAGACAGAAATTGATGCTACATTAAAGATTTATAAACAAACAGGTAAAAATATATTTTTTTGAAGAAAATATATTAGCCAAAAATCGGGGATCGGCATAATAACATACGAGGCTCATCTGCCAAAAATAGTCGCCAATTAGGAGTACAAAAAAAAATTTGAGAAACGGTGAAAATTGTCACTGAACGTGGTCTACGGGTTGTATAAGACGGTTAGTAAGCCGACCATTACCCAGAGGTTCCTCGTCTGATAGTTGGCATTAGATAAAAAATGTCATAAATTTTATATATTATATTAGCACAGCAACTGACATAATTGGAAATTTTCAGGGTATATTAGGACTCAAGAAAGCTTAAATTTACTATTTCACCTTGTATCGTTATAGGTTTTTGTTCAAGCTTTTAACAGTAAAGTGCACTTAGACTACATGTAACCAAAGGTGGATGGACTATAGTTTTGACGTTCCATAGTCTGCTACGTTCCGCATGGAGGGGTCGTGATTTGATCAAAACTGATCGAAGATCAACCACCGACTACATGACACCAACACTTAACTTTAAAACTGAAATTCCTACAATTTACACTACCAGAAAAACTGGGATTAAGAATCTCTAGAAGTATCATTTACACAGTTGTCTTATGAATAGAAAATGGAACGAAACTGGGTATCTATTTGAGGAAGATGCAGATACTGCAAGTACATCAGTTCCCTGACACTTGTAGTGTCTCTTAGGCTTAGATATATGCAGCCAGGCAAATATCATTATCTTTGTAGACAGTTAAGCAACCATTAAGGGAATCAAATCTAAAACTGTGAAATTGAGGTTTGTAATAAAATGTCGCACCTCACTGATCAACATTGTACATCACATAGTCTCTTTCTCTGCTGCATTTTTGGTTATAAGAAAAATGAAGGGAATGACATAGCAGATGTGTTGACTAGAACATTTTCTGAAATGCACATAAATAAGGCAAACATAAGGTCTCTCTCTCTCTGTTGGATTCCTGGTCATAAGAAAAATAAAGGGACGACATAGCAGATATGTTAACTAGAACAATTTCTGAAATACACATAAATAAGGCAAACAAATCGATACAAATCCCCGTATATGAACTATTTACAAGTTTATAAATATTTACTAATGCGATGAAAAATGACATATGATCTGTGCGATTTACAGAAAGACATAGCTTTCTAAGTAGTATAGAAATATATACCTTAGTGTTAGCAAATAACTTGAAGACTTTGCGATTGCCAGAAACATAAGGTCCACA